GGTTCCCCTTCAAAAACGGGAACGAGTCGCTTCGGTGTTCGCTAGGGTGAACTTGCAAATCCTTCGCGGTTCGAAAACGAACGATGAATCGTTCCTTTAGAAAAAATCAGCTGAACGCGTAAGATCCGTTCGCTCGGTGTTCCTCGAGGTGATCGAGGAAAGCGATAAGGGTGTCTGAGGGGTGTCGAGAGGGGTGAATTTAACGGAGAAGTAAGGTCTTTCAGGGACGCTTTAAGAGATAAAAACGAGGTTACAGAGAAGAGATTTCGAGGACGAGGAATATTCAACGAACTCTCCAAGAGTTGGCTCGAGAGCTTTGATCGTTCGAGGGTAACTTCGATGACCATGGATGCCACGAATACAAGACGACGAACTTACAGAGGTATTACGGTTATTGTTCGACGATTACGCGAACGCTCGGTGACTTGAAAATGCTTTCGGAGTTCCATTGTTTACGGCTTTGAATCTTCCTGTATCGGCGTCCGCGAATGCTTTTAACCCTGGATTAAACGGTCGCGAGACTAGTTGGCATTTTTGCGTTAACGCGTTAAAGGGAGATCGCGAACGAAATATCGGATAAATTTCGACGAAAATATAGAAGAAACGGAAGAGACGATCGAAACGAAACGCGTATATGTCACCGCGCGACGGGAGAGCAAAAATTGAAATGTAGGTATCGGCCAGTCAGGGAGATTTTTTATCGTTCGAAGTATCGCGATTCGAGCGCACCGTTTAATGGACCAAATGGTTAGAACGAATTTGTTTTATCGAGCTTTAAGCGAGCTGTTATTTCCGTCGAACAGAAGCATATTGTGGTTCGCCGCAAATCAACAGGATCGTTGCAGCGGAGAGTTGAAAAATGTATGCAGAAGGGGAAACGACGGCGAAATAAAAGCCGGAAGAAAAATGGTCCGGGACTACTCGCGAAAAAAAAGACAAAAAGAAGAAAAAAAAAAGAAAAAGGGGATACTTTACATCGAACGCGGTAGAAGAAAGGAAACAAAAACAAGGGGCGAGCGAGCGAACTAAGAGAGAAGAGGGTAAAGCGCGGCAAGAATGAGAACCTGTGGAAAAACTGGAAGCTTGTAAGGAGTTCGAAGCGAAACGACCCGATGATGCCTTTCGAATTTATTACGAGAGAAATTACGAAATATCCACGGGACGCGCGACCACAAAAATCTTGCAGCATTTTTCGCGACGAAAATTGTAATTCCGACAAAAATTGTAAACAGGCTCGACTCTACTATCGCGGTGTAATTTGTAAAGTATCGATATATCGATTCTTGAATAAAGTAGAAACGAAGATACAGAACTTTCAATTAAATTAGAAAAGATCGTTCAAGTCGATGTTTACGCGACTAACAGATTATCCCAGTATCAAATAGGAGCTTGATTAAACGCAAAATAAGTTAGAGTTGGAATTGAATCGAATGAAAGTTAGATCGCGTTAGGTTAAGTTTCAATTAAATTTGAGCCAACTGCTACTTAGCCATCGATTCAGCTCTTGGTTGGAGAAGATCAGTCGTGTTTAATATCTTAATTGGATTTCCTTCGATATAATCGGTAGAAACGCCGGGGATTTTCAATCAGAATCTATCCTGAAAATAATTGCTCGTTCTCCGGGGAATGTGGATATAATCGTTTTTTATACTGTGACATTATTTTAAAAATACTTAACATTAAGGAAAAAACGAATTCCTCTATGGAACAATGATCCTTTATGCGAAATGGAATTGCATTTATATCGCTGTGCGAACGAGAACGAAACTAATTACGGAAGGAATAATTAAATTTTGATGTGACGTTTCGATTAAATTCTCATCCGCGTATAACGGATAGAGAAGAATATCGGAGTGCAGGATTTATGCCCATCGTTTTTTTTTTTTTTTTTTTTTTATCAGATCAGAATTTAATATCC